GAGGGCGAACCAGCGTAAGATATGCTAACTCTTTGGCGTTTGCAGAACTTTTCTTTAGTATTCTTTAGTATTTAGTATAGTATATATATATATATATATATATATATATACTATATATTGATTACAAACATTTAATATTTCAAAAACTGTTTTAGGGGTTGCACAGTGTCGTTCTGATTAGAGCCCCTATGATATTAATGATTGATTTGTGTTTCCGGGCGTGTCAACTACTATTGGAATTAGTTACGTAAGCGTAGTGCTGGTTATGTCGCAGAAGGGGGCGGTGTTCACTCGCTCTAGAACGTAAGAACGTTCATGTTGGCTTGCAAGGGATTCTCCCTCCATATATCTCAATTATCAGTGGGGAGAGCTCCTAAAGTCTCGACATGTGAGGTAGTGTTACGTAAGAAAAGTGAAGGGCACAAGAAAGAGGAAGAAAAAATGAGCGCTGTCTGTGCCCCTTTTTTTAGGCTAATACTACGTCATATGCTTGGTTTTGCTCGGATAATCCACAGAAAATTATCAGTAGAATCAGCCGGACGCTAGTTTCTCCTCCAGATGGTGGGTGAATTCGCTGTCTTGCAAGTGTAAAATATCCGTAACCGTCGGAACTGGAAACCTAGGCACCCTGAAGTAATTAAACGAGCCTATCTAGGTTATCACTTTGCAAGCGGAGCGTGTGAACCTATCGGCGACAGCCCGAGCGAACTGTGCATACTGCCTCTTCGCGTTGGGGCGCGGGGCCCAAGGGCGTGGGGTGGGGGCGTGGAGAGGTGGCGGGGCCGAGGGCGTGTGGCGACGGGGCGGGGGCGAGGGCGGGGGCGTAGGGCGGCGAGGGGTGGGAGGGGCGGCGGGCCATGGGGTGAAAGCGAGGCGAGGGGCGGGGATGCAGGGCAGGGACGGGGGCGAGGGGCGGGTCGAGCAGGTGCCGGGGGCGAGGAGACGCGGGGCGAGGGGCGGGTGGTAGGGTGCGCGGGTGGGGGCGAGAGATAGCGGGTGAGGGCGAGATGCTCGTCGCACATATTGCCAGCATCCTCATCGGGTTCTCCGTAGAGGCTGAGGCGT